AAAGAAAATTCTTCTCCACAAAAATCATGGGATGAAAATTTTAATTTAATTCCAATGAAAATTCAATACCTGATCCAAGACATATGATGGCCGGTGAGTGGTATCCGGCATGAAAGCTGTCATGAAAACACCAACCGAGATCTTCTTCGGGAACTTGTCCATGGCCAGAGCCAAATTTAAACCTCCAAGGCTATGCCCTACAAGGATGACTCTCTCACCCGAGGGCAGGGCAGCCAAAATTTCCAACAGGGGCTCGGTATACTGATGCATGGTATGGACATCCTTGATGTCCTTTATGTTGATGCCCGAGGCAGCCAGGTCGAGCACGGTGACACGGTGACCCGCTGACTCTAGCAGTGGCTTGAGCTTGTACCAGCTCCAAGCTCCATGACATGCTCCATGGACTAGGATGAAATGGCTTTGCTTCTTAGCTCCTTCCATATTTTTGTGCTCTTAGATGATTAATTATAGAGATTTTATAGGGTACGAGCGACCTTGGAGGCCGGAGAGTGCAGAAGGCGACTGCCCCTAGCACTCCTCAACGTTGAAAATGCTGTGTGGAAAGAGGTTCTGTTTGAAATGAGAAATCAATCAATGCTATTTGGGTCAAAAGGTCAGGGCAATGTAGTCAGTCAATAAAATCAGTTTCAACTCTGCCGACAGATGAACTAAATGGCAGCCGTATGGGCCCTTCTTTTTCTTTTTTTTGGTCAACAATTGCCTAATAGTTTTGACCAACGGACTTTTTTTTTTTCCTATTTCTTTTCTCAGCTCCTAAAAATTTTTCTTTTCAAGTGACACTGTTCTTGTGTCTGGCATGATTTTCCTACTCACATTCCGATTTCGTTTCCTAAAAAATAATCCTTTGAAACCATCATGCCTCAAACCAATTAAATTTCTTTCTTATGGATTCTATTAGCTTAAACCAAACACCATAAAGAAACCCTGAGTAGCAATACTGACCATGTCCACTTCTCTTAACCAAAAATAAAGTGAGAGTTAATAAAGAGATATATACATATACTAATAGATGGAACAGACAGAAAGGGCAAAGAAATGTAATAAAATGAAGGTGAAATGGAAACTAGAAGGTAATTTTTTTTTAATACATAAGGAATAGGAATTAAATTTTAGATTTGTTATTAAAAATATAAATAGATAACTTTATTATTAAATGATATGATTAATAGTGAAAATAAGAAGATAATGAAATAACGTGAAAAATGCAGATTTTTCACTATATATAAACTTTTTATTCTATTAAATCCATATGAGGTTAATTAATATTATTAATTTAGAATAATAATTTTAAATTAATAATATTATAATTAATAATTACAATATTATGTTTAATTTAATTGCTATAATGAATTTGAAATTAAGTCAAAGACCATGGACGCTGAGCTGTCTTCTTTGTTTAATTCACTAATGTACAAGATCATAATGAGATTATTCAACCATTTTTTCTTGATACTTATTAAGAATTGAACTCTAAATTTGTAATTGAAAATACAAGCAATTACCATGAGACCACATGAGGGAGAGTAAACTTATTCAACCATAACCCAACCATTACTACCTAATTATATTTGTCAGCAATTTCTAAGAGACATAAGCAGAGTTCCTTTGGCTTTGACAATGGTACCAAGTGGTCTGCCCCTTCTATCACCTTCACCTCCTTGGGTGGACTCTTCTCAATGAACCATCTCTGCAGATCTTCATTCAACAGCTTATCTTCATCACAGACGATAAAAACCCGGTCTACCGACCCAAAATTCTCTTCTGTTAGTAGATTTTGCTTTGCTAAATCTGCCAGGAATAGCCCACTTGGTCTCATCAATGTTCCAGCCAACTCCAAGTCCTACATCCATAAAAACACAAGACACATGAAAGCTTAACAAAGTTAGTACTCACTGTGATTTTAAGAGCTTAATTTTAAGTCAAGATTTTAGCCAATAAAATAAAGGTTTTTTTAATCCAATATTAAAGATGCATTTATTATATATTGATATTATTAATATACATTAAAATAAAAATTTTATATTAATTAAATTAATTATATAATTAAATATATTTATACGACATGATTATTAAAATTAATGTTAATTTTTTTTTATTT